CTAAAGGCTTCCTTGCTTCCAGGGGCTAAAAGCATTGACAGGAAGTACAATACAAAGCTGGAGTTCCAGAAAGAGCTGACAGAGAGCTCTTGAGCTAACAAATCCTTGACATTTTTGTTACACAAGAAGTGTTTACTTTGCATATACCAGGAAAGAAGTAGGCATGCATACCTGTCTATTATTCATATGCGACAGAACTGCTACTTGTATATACACACTTGTCTTTCAGTAAAAAGATTACAAAGAGAAAATGTTGCTCTTAAGCACATTTGTGTACAAGATGAGCATGTGTTGCAACAAGAATAAAAAGATTAACTGCATGTGTTGGTTATAAAATATTGTTAAGTTCCTCTGTCAGTTGGTTGATAACTGAGATTGTTGAAAACAGCTATGGAGCAGTGTCAATAGGAGAAACTGAGGATGAGAATAGGAGCATGATTGCTTTATAAATACAAAAAAAGTGCTATAATACTTTATTAGGGGAAATACATTGATGAGACATAGTTGTTTTGCTTTGCACTCATCCTTCTTTCATAATTATATTCAAGAATCTGTCTTTATTCCAACATTAACAAAAGGAAAGCCAGAGCTGACTGAGAAGTAGCCTAAGATAAAAGCAAGATTCAAGGTTATTCCCTTCGCAAATAATATTGCAGCTTAATTCAGCATCCATCACAGCTTGTTTAAAAGGTAGTAAAAAAAGGTGTGCATGCAGTCAGATCTGTGCCTACCTTTTTACTGCTGCTGTGTTTCAGATAATTGGAGAATACTGAGAGAAAGTGATTAAACATTGCACTTCATGCTAAATGGAATGCAAATAAGAACACAAGTTTTCTAGGTTGCAAAAAGAATGCCCATGAGTAGCAGGTAATAAAAGATGCACTAGTTAGTTGTTTAGATTGAAAAAAATGCCACCAAAAAAAGCCAGTGAATAAAGCTCAATTTTGAGTTGCTATTGTAGCACAGTGTATGTCCAGGCCTCATGACTATGGGTGTTGAAGACTGCAAGAATGCGACAAACAAACACCATGACCCACCAGATCTTTTTCATTAATTAACTATTAATGACATGCACATTTCTAAAGTACAGAGAGTCTGTGTCCAGTGTGTGATAAATTCTTCACCAGCTTGTCTTTCTCTAGGAAATTAGTAAATTATAAATTATAGAGAAGTTTTTGTATTAAAGTATCATTCATTCCATTTAGTAATTAAGCAGTGAAGCAGAAAGGGAATGCATGAGTGCCATACTTGTCCTTCACTGGATTTCCTATTTCTACCTGCTCAAAATCTCTTCTTTACTTGACTTCCCTGCAAAAACAGTTGGATGTCTTTTTTTTTAAAATGGAAAGTCAGATTCAGTTAAGAGAAGTTAGGGTCTTCAGCCTCTGGCTTGAAAAAGACCACCCCTGCCACTGGAATGGAGAAAAGAATTAGGGGGAAAAAAAAGGTAAAACCTGTGGGTTGAGATAAGAACAGTTTAATAATTTAAATAAAATATAATAATGATTGTAATGGAAAGGAAGATTAACAAGAGAGAAAGAAATAAAACCCAGTAAAGACATGTGATGCCCAATAAAACTGCTCATCACCTGCTGCCTGATGCCTAGCCCATCATCAAGCAGCTATCAGCCCCTCTTGGCCAACTGCCCCCGGGTATATACTGAGCATGACGTTCTATCGTATGGAATATCCCTTTGGCCAGGTCAGCTGTCCTGGCTGTGCTTGGTCCTGACTTCCTGTACACCTCTTCGCTGGCAGAGTATGGGGAACCAAAAAGTCCTTGACTTAGGGTAAGCACTACTTAGGAACAGCCAAACCATGACCGTGTGATCAATATATTCTCATACTAAATCCAAAATGCAGCACTGTACTAGCTACTAAGAAGAAAATGAACCTTATCCCAAACGAAACCAGGACAATGAGGTGAATGGGTCATTAAACTCTTAACTGAGAAAAGAAGTTGGCAAAATATATATGAAATTGGTTTTCTATTCCTGCCCCCCAAAGAAGATAAGAATATGATACAACATCATATTGTTATTCTCTCCATCAATTGACTTCTCGCTCACACGTCTTTGGGAAGCAACAGGAAAAATTCGCATGGCAGAATGAGCATTTGTGTTCCCCATATGTTGACTTGTTAGGGGCATTTAGGAGCAAATGTGTGCTCACATATATAATTTATGTCATGGATAATCGCAAGGAAAAAGAAAGGATTGTAGTTAGGACTAAGATTTCACAACAGAATTACGGAGTAATTTGAGTTAGAGTTATAATTCTGTTTAATTAATTTTCAAGAGTGCACAGAATTTGATGGTGCTGCTGCTCCAGGACAAACTAGCTATAGTGCTTAGGTAGTCCTGAAACATGAGGGAAACGTGGAATGCAGCAATGCAGAGGCTGATTTTGTCTGCCTGTATTTTCGGGATGAGAGGAATGGTAGTACCAGGTTGATTGGTATGCCTATTTCAGTGGATTATTCATTTTTCTGTTTGGTTATCAACAAACCCCAGAAGCTGTATTGATCTGTCTCTTCCTTCTCTTATCACCTTTTTTTGCTGCTTCCTTTACCAACTCTGCTTTTCATGTTAAAACACAAAAACCCCTTGATAGTAACTTCAGGATCTAAATAATTTCTTATTTCTGTGATGCTAAATAACTGAACTCTTGCACTATAAAATTGGCTGCCTTTCAAAATGTCAAGTAATTGTGTAATTTCTAGTTGTAATTTTTCAGAAAAATAGCATGCACTAATGGAAAATATTTTGCATCAAGTAATGTCTTTTAATATTATGGTAGAGACATGTCACAAATTTAAAGGAATGATTTTGTGTCAGTATAATGGTGGTCATAAGAGAAAAGAATTGAACAGCAAACATATACCAACAACAAGCCAACACTTGTGGAAGTAAGGAATGTAAAGAAGGCAATTTTATTTAAATAGTGTTAATTTTTAAATTTTCAAACAAATACTTGAATAAGTCAACACCATTGAAGTGCTGTTAGCTAATCACGTATTTCTCAACTGAAGTGGAACTGTAATGACTGAGGGCTAATTAAACAAAAAAAAAAAGGCACAAAACCTCCTTGCCTTAAAATCATGCAATTGGAAATGTCACTGGAAATCTGGCAAGCTAAGGGCTGTTGGGTTACTCCTCTCTAAATATTGTGCAAAATGAAATTGCAGTTATGTAACAACAAAGTGCACCGGCTGCTACATGTAAGACCTTCGGAACATCTGTGTTGGGCATTGCTCCATCTCAAGATGGATGGATTCCTGCTTGCCAAACAAAACTGGCAAGAAAGTTGGGAATCATCCTGATTATGTTAATCAAGAGACATTTTAATGTTCCTTGGAGGAACAGGTTTAGGTTTTCTGTTATGTTGTTAAAATGTGATAATGCGTACATAAATAGCATTTCCTCTATTCAGTGAGAAAGCTTATAATTGTTTATCATCAGTAACTTTGTGTGATTCTCAGCTCAAGTAAGTGCATTAAATTATCTGGCATGAAAGACAAGAATTTGTACTATATAAATACAAATGTTTGTCCTCATCTGACTAGTAATAGACTTTGGCCTTTCTTTGACAAAGCAGATGATTTCAAAGCATAAATGGCAATGCTTTTTGCTGGTTGGCCCCGGAGTAACATGATACTGCTGCTTTTCCACATTCTTCACTGTAAAATTTAATTAAAAATAACTGAAAATGAATGCCAATTATTGTTGCTTAGTGGCAGGGATGCTTATTAATTCCCACTGACAACAGAGATACTCCCCATATTTTCCTATTCTCATAGTTGCAACTTGAAAGAGAACAATGAAGGTCTGTGTGTTGCTCTGCAGCAATATGTGGTCTGTGTTGCATATGCATTTATATGAATAGCTGTGTATGTTTTCATTTAGTTTGTTATGGTCCTTATGTACTTAGTTATTTGTGTAAACAATAATATTTACACTGCTGTTTGGATATGTTTATATATTTCCTGATTGTTTCTGCTGTCTCTGGTAGCTGTGTAATCTCTTCTTCAATCAATGTAAAGAAGCTGAATTGTGAACAAAACTTAATTGTCATTTTCAACTGAGAAAAACTCGCTCTTCTCAGAGGGCAATTGCAAGTTTTTAATTGTACTACATCTCCTGGAAATGAAGTACTTTTATGTCAAAGAGACGCTATTGACATGTTGTGGTAGAATTCTTAACAAATAGTAGTATGAGATGTTGCAAAATTTCACCAGAGAATGAAATGCAAATCCAGGCATGAAGAATGTGGTTATTTTCTCCTGTATCATAAATGCTTTTTCTTTTATAAAATATGAGTGAAACATTTCTGGAAAAATGGGAAGACATTTTTAGATGTCTCTTAAGAACAGCAGTTTTTTAGGACTAGTTGTGACATTATGTTTAATTTTTATTACATGCTTTAAAGATATAAAATTTTATAGCACTGTCGTACATAAAAACAGTTACAATGGTTTAAGATCATTGTGTCCATAAATGTTCACCCGCATGCCCATCAGCTGAGACACTGTAACTGATCTTGTTAACACTCTGTAATTTATTAGAAGCATTTGTGTAATGAGTTACTTCACCCAGTTGAGAAGCCAGTAACAAAATGCTGCGGTGTGACAATGAATATGTTAGAGGCAGCAATATCTTGTGTGCAGTGGTTTGCTTCAGAAGTGAATGTAGGGCAGTGCTGACTGCATGATATGTACACTTGGTGTCTTGTATGTTAGCAGAAAACAAATAGGTCTGGCTAGGAGCATTTTGCCTCTATGTAGGTAACAACTGCATTACTTGTCTTTCCTGGCTTTTTTTTTAGCTCACTCTCATATCTAGGTTAAACAGAGTAATTAAATTAAAAACAAAAATGAAAATAGAAAGAAAAGTATATTGCCTCAGAAGACAAACTATTTTTGCATTTGAGTCAGGGATGTTATATGTTATATGATTTGTATGTTTTGAGCCATGATGTTATCTTTAATTATTGTTTTTTAGAGTGTTCATATTTTGGAGCGGAAAGCTTCTTCAGGAAGCACAGACCCTTCTTTAAGCAAGCAGTTCCTTGAAAGCGACCGTATCTCCCTATCCAAGGTAAGCAAAAGCAGGGGATGTAGTCTGGGTAATTACTTCCCCTGAAGAGTTACAAAGTAGCATGACTAACAGCTTTGGGATAGTGTTTTGTATGATTCTACCATTGAGTATATTGTGAGTCTGCCCTGGAGCTTATTGTTCCATAACTGAAGTGTCTGAGGAGCCAGTGATCTTTAGTAGATGTTACATTAACAAAATTAAGGGTTTGGATAGTAGTTGTGATCTAGGCTTGCTGGCATTTTTTGCCCATGGATGGCCCTCAGAAGCAAGTTTTACAGTCTCAGAGTATGGGGCTTGCAGGGACTTTCATGATCCTTGTGGGTTCCTTCCTGCTAAGGGTATTCTATGATTCTGTGACTTTGAGAAATGATCCAGTCCAATCTTCTTATTAAGATAGAGCAAATCATATCCAGCTCTCAAATTGCTGCTATTCAATAATTATATTGGTTCAAAAAATATGTCCTAATGACATTCCTTGTGGGTAGTTTGAAATTGAAAATCTCCTGAAAAGCTCCTGAAAGGTGGAGCCTTGTGTGTGGTGCTTGGAAGTCAACTTCTTCCTGGCTGAATTCCTTAGTTTTGGAATAAACAATTCTAAACAAGTCTAATTCCACATAAATGCAGCTTCATTTTAAGATACTTCATATGCAGAAGTAAGATTGTCACTGAAAAGGTGATGATGCTGTGATGGAATATTTGGTGGAAAAGAAAAATCTGAAATTAAATATCTATGAGTCCTGAAACAGGACTGGTAAAACAAGTTCAAAAGGAAATATTCTGTTTGTCCAAGGAAAATGAAATTGTTTGTTCTGTTTTATTTGGAAAACAAATACTTTGCAGTCAAAAAGACTAGGTTCATAAAGCTGTTAGTAGTGGCTCCCTTAATTCCCATACATGGGGCATACGCAGACCCAGAGACTGTTAAGTTGTGACTGTGTTCCCCCAGTCCTGCTGCTTTTACAGGGCTGTTTCTCACCTAATACGTATGGAATCACTGAAGTCCTAAAGTTCTGCTGTACTTGAGAATTGTTATTGGATGAGGACTCTTCAAACATATTGCTTTCTCTCTGCTTTTTCCCCATTTCTTGCTGCTCTTTCATAATGTCCCTTGTTCTGGGCAGAGCCCATCACACCAGACCTGTGGGATGAAGCACAGTTAGGGTTAGGATGGTTTTAAGAATGGCTTGTAGTACTGATGCAGCAGAATACAGCTATCCACTGTATTGAATAATTGCTTGTTTTATCCCTCTGTATCTGGCCTTTTGTTTAAATGAATAGCTATATGAGATTGTGTGGTTTCTAGTTGAGAAGTAATCAATACTGATGTTATCTAGTAGATAAAAACTTATGCCGGCAACTGATCATCTAAAGGAGAAATCAATATGGTGAAGAATCAGTTGGCAGAGTTGCAGAGAGAGACTCTGCTCACCCCAGGGGACTTTGAGTTCAATTTGTCCTCCTCAAGTGCCAAATGCTTCTTTGTAGGGGAAAAATAATGCGTATGTGCTTCCCTCTGTAGAGTGGAAATGGAATATCCAAACAAAACACAGGGAAGTAAAAAAGTTGGGTTTTGAGTGTGGTATTTACAGACAATGAGATAGCAACAGTTTATAGTTCATGCAGGAAAAACTAAACTGATTAAAGGTTTCTATTAAAATTCACTAGTATGCATCATTTGGTATAGATTTTTTCTCCTTCTTAAAATACCAAGATCTTATTAAAAATTGTACATTTGAAATTTGCTGATACCTTTGAAATTGCATTTCCATAATAGCAATGTTGATGTTATTGGGGCTGTGTTGAAGGTGTTATGAAAGACTGACAGCATTTTACTTAGAACTGCTTTGTGAGAAATGGGGAGACAATTTTTCTTTTCCCTTTAAATGTTTGATGCTCTATGACATCCTTCTCTTGATAGCTTTTCATAACATTGCTCAGAGTTGTGACACATCAGCTGAGAGAATGCAAGTTTACAGCTTTGTAAGGTACAATTAGTAAAATAGAGTCTGAATGAGCAATTAGAGATTCTTAAACTGATGCAGAATTCTGTTAATTACAGTAGTAGCAAGAGGATAGAAATAAACGTACGATTCAGGTTTTTCTCTTTAAAAATATAATCCTTTATCTGTTCACTATGGTATGTTACAAAGTTGGCTTGAGTTGCACCAGTCGTCATGATACTGTTCCTGTGCTTTTCTCTAGAGAGAAAATTAGTTAGCTTTCCTATAAATTTCTCTTAGTAGAATGAAAATGAATGCCGGAAAAGAAAAAAAAATAAATTTCCTTTTGCAGATTTCTAAGGGCACAATTAGCCTATGAAACTTTGTCATAAAATGCCTTTGAAGATGATCACTGGCTACATTCAAAATCAGCAATAAAGCAACATCTTCTGCTTGGTTTTCGTATTCAAAGGGAAAACTAGGGTATTCAGAACCAGTGTAGCTTGTACTTGAAAGATCAGAAAATCTAAAGTTTTTCACGATCAAGAAATACCACAAAGGGCACTGTTAATATATGCCTTACCTGGTAAGAGTTAGACTTCCAAAAATGTTCATATTTAGTAGTTTTGAATGAGATACAGCCAGACATAATATGGTGACCATGTAGTTTGGTACCTAAATAGGTTGATTTGAAAGCCTAGTCCTCCTCTCTTTGTCTTGCATTGGAGAATTTGTGCTACTTTTAAGTGCAATTCTTCACCATGTTTGTGCACAGTTAATTAATCAGTGTGTCTTCATACTTCTTCACCAGGAATCTGACAGCTGGGAAATCATAGAGGGTCTGAAAATAGGCCAGACCAATGTCCAGAAGCCAGACAAACATGAAGGTTTCATGCTGAAAAAGAGAAAATGGCCATTAAAAGGTTGGCACAAGGTAAATGTCTCATAAACCAGTGAGAAGGTTATTACCTTATCTTATGAGTTGGGATATTTTTGTCTAGAGGAAATTAGGATGTCAAATAAATATCCAGGATTTTGGTGTATGACTTCCACCTGTGTAAAGAGTTAGATTGCAGACACAGCTCATGGCTTTAAGTCACAGTTAATTGCACACTGCTTAATGTTGTATTCAAAATCCACATGGAACTTGTAAATAACACACTGGATGCTTTCTATTTTAAGAGGTTTAGTCAGTATCTCTTTTTGTTCTTTCAAATGTATTATAATAAAGTGTAGCCATGTACTCTAAGATTGTATTGAGTTTACATTACAGTACATAGGACTTCATGATAGCAAAGAGCTAAGGGGCTTTTCCCTGTACTCAAAGTGTTTGTACAGGAGAGCATTCCCCTTCAGGACTGCTGACTGAGAAGATTTGTTCAGCATTGTCCCCAAATTTTGTTTGTTGTCTTGATTGGAGTCATCTTTGTGGCTGTGCAGTGGGACTACACATTTTTGCCATTAGATGTCTCTATTTGTAAAAACAAAACACCCCAAAACTCAACCCCAAATCTCCTGATTCAGTTTAGCTAATTTGGATACATTCCTCCATGCATGACTCTACCTTTTATTAACGTTAAACCTGATGTTCATAAACTCCTTTGCCTGTATTTCATAATGATGGCATTTTTCCCTCTTTTTTAGCAACAAGATATGTGGTATTTATGCTCACCCATCTTTTTGTACCTGAGGGTACTTAAAGCAGGATAATTTTCAGGGACAGAATGCGTTCTACTGCAAAGGACAGTGAAATCATTTGCTATACAAGGTGTTTTTCCTTGGAAAGCATAAACTTTCTTCTTTTGCAACACACTGTGGGACTTACTTAGATCTGAGTCTAAATGTAGTCCTGACTAGTATAAATTGCAGTTGTTTTTCGAATTTCTCTGTTCTTTCTGGATGTTGTACTTAATTATACATATGCCTACCACCTTTTTTTGCCTATGTTAGATGTTTCAACTTTGTTTTACTTAACTAGTCTGTAGTTTCAGCAAGCAAGCACATGTGCACTACCTGAATTTAGTCTAGAGAGATTAAAGGTTTTCAAACTGACATACCTGAAACACTGAAAGAACAGAAAAATAGAGCTTATAAAATTACATTTTATCTTAGGATCTATACTGAACTTAGGTTTTGAAACTGTGGATTTGTTAATAAGTTTGTTTGGTTTGGGTTTTTTCGACTGCTGCCTGGTTATCCTGGAGTTTCTGTAACAATACTTTGTGCTGAGAACTCAGTGAGGAATTTGAGAGACAGTAATTGTAGCATGCACTGTGTTAGTGTTCTGCCCGCAAAGCCATAGATAGCATTCTATTGAATGTTGCATGTCATATTCTGACAGTTCTCAATGTGCTTTAGTAGCATACTGGGTACAATGTGTACAACATGGAGAACTTAACTGTATTTTGAAGTGCAGCATGCAGCATTCATGGAATGAATTGATGATGAAAGATCAGTTTCTTCTGTGTATGCAGCTTAGAGAGACAGACCAATATGAAATGAATGTCATGTTCTTCTGAAGTCCATTAATGATCATACCTAGGTAAAAGAAAACCAAAGCAAACCCCAAAAACATTCCTGTTGTTTTGACATCTTATTCAAAAAGTTGTGACTCCAGGAAAGCACTGTTTCCTTGCCCTGGATGAGGTACTGGTACCATCTGTTGTGCAACTGACGTAAGTTCTAGAAACATCTTCAGGGGAGATTTTCTACTATCTAACTATTGACTCTGCTTAGAGTGTTAATTAATTTAAGAGGTTTACATCATGGTACCATTGTCCTTCCCTTGCATGTCAGACAGCTTTGAGAATCAGGCATAATATTTTGCTGGGTTCTAGGTTTTTAACATAGATTAGTGCTTTAGGTTACATTGTAAAAATAGGAATTAGTTGCTATTAATTTGCATGTTTTGAAAGTTAGTGATGATAAACACAAGTGAGCTAATCTCATTTCAAGTCTAGGTTTCCTACTAGGCTGCATCTTTATGCTGTGTGCCAAAGTCTATGTTAACTCGAGTGGAATGCAGCCTGAGTGATCAGGTACAGACAAGCTAGGACAACTGAAATTGCAGGAGAAACACAGTGTGAATAGGAGATTTGCTCTTTGCTGTAAGAACTGCTCAGCAAAATAAAGCTGTAGCAATGACACAGATAGGCATTGCCAGGTTAGGTTAGTCCTGGTAATTTTGTCAAGGTAGATATAGTGGCTCACACGGTATCATTGACTAACACCCAAAACATAAGCCTTATCACAACCTGCATATGTTGCTGGGAATGCTGTAATATTTGCACTAGTACTAATACCTGTATTAGCTAGATTACCACTAGAAAATGTATCATCAGCATTAATTACAATCTCATCTTTACTTCACTGTGTAAGGCACAAAGTTTTGCCATAAGGCAAAGTTTTACCATAAGGCACAAAGTTTTAGGTGGTAGAACAGTGTCTCTCAGATAGTCTTCCTTTTGAGATGTAGATCATGCACTAAGAAAAACTTCAGGATAGGGAAGATAGGTTGTTAATTTGAAATGTGACCAGCTTCTGTGGGAATAAAAATGGAAGAAAATTAAGAAACAGACTTAATTCTCTTGTGCCACAGTGTCTTTCTTATAGAATTTATTAATTTGGCTGGAAACTGAAATAAAACTACCCTTGATTATTGAAGTTTGATAAGAACATAATGCTGAAAACAGAGAATCTAGTTTTTCTTGCTGAGAAGATAATTGTTGTCAAAACAAAAGCAAGAAAATTATTCAATCCTGTATTTATCCTCTCTTTCCAACTCCCCAAACATTCCTTAATTGCTACAGGGTAATCCTTTTCCAGATGAATTGTTGTACGTGGTTTAAATTGCATCTGCTCATTTAGAAAGAATGTGTGGGGTTTTTTCTATTTCTTTCAGAGGTTTTTTGTCCTGGATAATGGAATGCTGAAATATTCAAAGTCACCAATTGATGTAAGTAAAGTTGAAGACCACTTAAAAACTTTTATTGGAATTCAGCCTGCCAGAGTCTCATGCTCACTCTAGGCATATATAGGACAGTACACATATGAAAGTTTTTTATGGATTCAAATATACATATATGTATATGGAAAGCATGTAAGATTTTGGTTATGTTCTCAAAAATTTTACCTTTTTTTACTTTGATGGAAATAAAAGCTACATTACTTAAAGGAGTTTCGTAATGAAGGTGCTTGAGCGATTAACCTGACCATGTATTTTTCTTCTCCAATTTTTATGTCAGATCTGATGCCAATAACCATCAAGCAGTAGCAGCAGTGTGCCAAGTACTGCCTAATTTTCTCTGCTTTTCGCTTTCCTATGCCTGTGTGCTGGTGCGAACCAACACACTTTGGGATTGGCTTTGCACCGAGCACTTCTTGCGAGATACTTTTTTTTTACTATAAATATAGTAAGTGGTTAGTCTGAGTGCAGCTTATTTTTTATATGGCTTTATGTTACAACATTTATAAAATGGGAAACCATTTCATCACCAGCTATTTT